AGAGCAGAGCTTGGTTATCATCGCGTCGAGCCTCATTATATTAGCATTGGAGGCGTTATTAATTTTAGAGTTATTGGAACGGGCGAATATTCAACGGCATGGGGAAAGGAGATGGAGAGACCAGTTCGGGATCATCAGTGAACACTGACGGTGCGCAGCTGCAGAGTCTACTAAATGCCCTCGCCAAGGGGCAAATTGTGGCCAAACCGACGATTGGCCTAAGTGAAGCTCAACGCTTCAATGGAGAGAACTACGGCACATGGCGGCTGAAGTTCATGCGACGCGCCCGGGAGGTGGATTTGTGGCACTTCTACAACCCAGAGGCAGCGACGGAGGACGATGGACCTGCACCTGCAACCGCACAAGAGAAAAAAGCGTTCAAGAAAAGAAGCCAACAAGCTTTCTTTCAACTCTGCCATTTGGTCTGGGATGCGATCGCAGCACGACTCGACCCGTTTTCCGAGGAGGACAACGCAGCAAAGAAGGCGTGGGCGTACATGGAACGAGTATACCTCGGGAAAAGCGAGGCAAAAATGACAGCAGTGAGGACGAAACTCATACTGCTGGCCATGGAACCTTCCGAGACGGTGGTGGACTACGTGGGCCGTGCAAAAGGCTACAACGACGATTTGACGGCTACGGGAGTGCCCGAATCGGAGAAGCAAATGATGAGTTACATCATTGGCAGCCTACCAAAATCATGGGCAGCAGAGAAGCGGATGCTGGCCTGCCGACGCCCGACGGACATGACGGACCTAGTGGAGTCCCTTCAAGATGTGGTACTCATACGTGCAGAGGAAGAACGAAGGGAGGCACTGCCGGACAACTTCAGCAACGACAAACCTGCCATGTTGAACGCAACAGGGGCAGGAAAATCATTTGGAGCTTGCTTCCACTGTGGGAAGAAAGGGCACAAGGCTGCAGAGTGTTACTCCAACCCAAAAAGCAAGAATTTCAAAGGAAAGGCAGCAGGAGCAAGCGGAGAAGGGCAACGACCAAGAGGCGGATTTGCTGGAAATTGCAACCACTGCGGGAAATTTGGGCACAAAGCAATCGACTGCTACAGCAACCCGATGAGCAAGAGCTTCAGGGGAGGGCAGCAGCAGCAAAAGAATCACGTACCTGCGAAGATCAACGCCACCGAAGCGGAAACCAGCAACGACGACATCCTCCTTGGAGGTGCCCACAAGGCCAATGTTGCAAGAGCATCGGGAGCATGCCTGCTTGCAAAGGGCCTGAAGGGGAAAGAGTGGTACATGGACAGCGGTTGTACCCAACACATGACGAATCGGAAGGAGTGGCTGAAAATTTTCAGAGCATCATCGATTCCGTACGTGCTGTTGGGAGACAAAGGGAAACTTCCTGTGAAAGGGGAAGGAGATCTAGTGCTACAAAGTGCGTATGGTGAGGTGAAGCTGGACAACGTGCTGCTGGTGGACAAGCTTACGCTCAACCTCATTAGTCAATCGCAGTTGGACAGCGGTGGATGCAAAACTTTCAGCGACAAGGGGAGCATATGGGTCTTTGGAGCGGATTGGAAGGTGATCGCGGAAGGATCACGCAAGCAAGGGCTATACGAGATGAAGCTGCACGAAAAACAGAGTGTGGAGAAGGTCACGTACCTAGCTGAACCGGAAGCGGGCAAGGTGGCTCGAGATGAGCTTCGTACCAAGCTGGAAAAGGTGCCTATTAAGGAGTTGCAACAGCAGGCGCTTCCTATGGCAGTAGAAGTGAGCACGGTGGACATCAACCTCCTGCATCGGAGGATGGGACATGCTGGTCACACGCGAATCAAGCAGCTGGTCAAGAAGAACATGGCAGTGGGCGTGAAGGTAGCTGAGGGTTTAGAGGAAAATCTGAAGTGCAGTACATGCGTGGAAGCAAAGGTAACAAAGGCACCACATCCCAAGCATGGAGCTCGTGAGCCGTACGAGACGCTGGCCATTGTGGCAGCCGACGTATGTGGACCAATGCGGGTGGCTTCACGACATGGCAGCAAGTATTTCGTTACCTTCACCGACCTTGGCACACGACACACGTGGGTGACTGAGATCAAGAACAAGTCGGATGTCTTCACAAGCTTTCTCGATTGGCAAGCGGAAGCGGAAAGGCAAAGCGGCAAGAAGCTGAAGGTGTTACGCACGGATAACGGGGGAGAATTCGTCAACGCCGAGTTCAACACATACCTGAAGTCAAAGGGCATACGAAGGCAGCTCACGGTCCCGTACACACCTCAACACAACAGCATTGCGGAGCGGGTGAACCGATCGATCACTGCTGGAGAGTGTGAGGAGCTTGCTCGCGGACAGCAACCTACCCCTTCACTACTGGGGAGATGCGCTAGGAATGGCGTGTTGGCTGAAACATCGGCTACCGACAAAGGGACTAGCTGCGGACGTTACCCCTCACGAGGCGTTCTACAAAAGGAAGCCAAATCTGGAGTTCTTGCGTGTTCGGGGCTGCATGACACAATATCGAGAGGCAGCGGGACCTGATCACAAGATTCTCCCAAGGACCAGGTGGGGGATTCACTTGGGAATCTGCCCGGAGAGCAAAGGGTGGGTGATACGTGATGTAGAACCGGGGAAAGTCACGGCAACCAGAGATGTCACCTTCTACGAGCGTGACACCTACTTGGAGTGGAAGGGAAGGAAACAAGAAGTTGTGTCAAAGGAAGCGGCAGCACCACCAACTCCACTAGAGGAGATGATAGATGGGAGTGAGAAGGAGGGAATAGGGGCAGCCAATGGAAGCGGTGACAACGATGACTACGAAGACCACACTACGCCGGGTTTCGATTGGGTGTGGGAGGTCCAGGAGCTGTCGTCACCTTCAACCGCCACGAAAGAGAGTGAAGAAGAGAACGATAAGGGAGAAAAGGGTTGTGACACTTCAACGAAGGAAGCCGATGATGAAGAAGCTGAAAATTCGGATGTCGAGGAGAGTGTGGACGAATCAGCTAGCACGGACTATTCCAACCCATGGCTCATCATCGACACGGGGGACAATGAAAAGGCGGCAGCAGAAATTGAGACCTACTTTCGGACGGTGCAATCATCATCAGAAGAGAGATTGAAGGAGATTCCGTGCAACAATGAGCGGATGATAATGCAGCGGCAGAGAAAGGAGGAGCTGAAAATCAGAATGAGGAGATGGGCAAAGGGAAACGAGTCAAGAAACCCAATCCCAAGTACGCCCAAATGCTTCTGACCTGCTGCAAGGACATTCACACCCACCTCCTCCTTACCACCACGGCAACGGCATTACTATCAAAGGGGAAGGTGGAGAGCTACAAGCTGCCCATCGAGCCTCTCATCATTGAAGAGGCGCTGTCCGGGCCGAACAATGAGCAATGGAGGGCTGCAATCCAGGAGGAACCTGACACCTTGGCTGAAAGGGGGACATGGGAGCTAGTGAACATGCCCGAAGGAAGGAAAGCAGTGGGAGTGCGCTGGATTTTCAAGATCAAAACGGGTGACATGGGACAACTTGAGTGTTTCAAGGCACGACTCATCGCTAAAGGCTACACTCAGGTGGAAGGAGAGGACTACGACCAACTCTACGCACCCGTTAGCAAGTTAACAATGGCAAATACCATGTTAAAGGTGGTAACGGCACGTGGGTACTTCATGGTGCAGCTGGACATAAAAAATGCCTTTCTCTATGGCGTTTTGAAGGAGACTATCTACATGAATCAGCCACCAGGGTGTGAGGACGGCACGGACAGAAAGTGCAAGCTCATTAAAGCACTTTATGGGCTGAAACAAAGCCCACGAGAGTGGTACTTAGCTATGGATGCGCAGCTGGAGAAAGGGGGGTTTGTGAAGAGCCAATGTGACCGCGCATTTTACTGGAAGGGAGAAGGAGAGAACAAAGTGTTCCTGCTTCTCTACGTGTTGTCCTGGGGCTATGATAAGAGAGAGAGGAATACGAGTGGAGAGGGACGTATAAGAGGAATGGTGGGTGAGAAAGGAGTAGGGGGTACAAAGCGAGTGCAGGTATGCCAGGAGAGGCAGTATGTGAGTGGGAAAGGGTGTATGAGCAGAGTGGAGGAGATGAGAGAAGCAGTGGCATGAGAGGAGTGGGGGTACGAGGAGTGGAAGTAGGAGAGTACTGGGGCTTCTGAGAGGAGTGAGGGGCATGGGAGGCGTGGGGGATATGAGAGGAGCAAGGGGTACGAAAGGAGTGGGGGGTGTGAAAGAACTATGGGGTACGAAGGGTAGTGCGGGGAATGCGAGGAGAGGGCTGTGAGAGGATTGGGGAGAGGGTTTTGGGGGTATTGAGGGAATGGGGTTATGAGAGGAATCGGGAGTATGCGAGAAGTGAGAGTATGAGATGCAATTCCCAGGATGCACAGGAATAGTTCGCTGCAGGTTAGACACATGGGGTGGAAAAGGAGATGCTACGCTAGGAGATGTTTAGGGGGAGTGTGTAGTGGTTTGCAAGCTTCCTGTTTGTTGTTGCCTCAATAAAAGAATATTCTATGTCGAAATCCCACACTGAGTCTATTGGAACCTATTCTATAATCTAGAGTATCGTGCATACAACAGCGAAGAGATTTGAAAAAAAAAAAAAAAAAAAAAACATTTGAGCTATAGTTGCTGATTACAGTGTACTTCACAGCCCAATGTTCCTGCCCCATAGTTGTGCTCACCAAGAGACGCTACCAGTATCCCTTCATAAACCCCTATCAATGTTTCTGGTCTCCACATACATGTTTTCATTTGGAATCAACCATCGGTATCAAAAGTGCAAGTCAAACCAGTTAGGTGCAAGTAAAAACAAAGTTGACTACGGTATATGGGAGAGCCACTTGGCATGGCCTCTAGCTCCGCACGGGCCATTTCAGCAGTGAAGCGGAAGTAGCCAATGGAAATCTTAATCTCCATGTCTATGGGAGACATGACATCACCCACATGTGCTCCGGACACCACTTGCTTCAAGGTGCTACCAGAATCCCAATGGTGAAACCAGTGAGGTGCATGCGAGATCAAACTTGATTACGTGGAAGAGCCACTTGGCATGCCCCCGCGCTCTGCACGGGCCATTTCAGTAGTGAAGCTGGAGGAGCTAATGGAACTCCCAAGCTCCAGGTCGATGTGAGATTTGGCCTCGCCCACATGGCTCTCATGTGCTCCGAACGCCTCCTGCTTCAACTTCACCAACTCTCCCAGCACTTGATTCATGGAGGGGCGGGAGGCCGCAGGCATGGCGGTGCAGGAGAGGGCAAGGCGAGCCCAGCGCAGCACCAAGTCATCTGGTGCATCTATGTAGGGGTCTTTAAAGGCCGATACAGCACCGGAGTCCACCAACGGGGCCACCTGTGAGGTTAATTCATATATCACATGGAATTTGGTCATAGATTAGGTTATTATGAAAAATCATGGATGGCAACGCAACGAGGGATTAATAACTGACTGATTTAAGACAGGTGATTGCTTTGAGTGCTACAAGACAAAAAACAGAATGATTGGAAGACGAATCATATCACATGTATAAGGTGAGACTGAAATTTAAGCATTTGTCTTTGTTCAACTTGGTCTTACTCATTCCAACACGTATCCTATTGGGAAAGTAGGTGAAAAGAACATGATCTGGCCTACACATGGCTAAGGGAAACAGAAAAAACATGAAGAAATGGTATTAGCAAGCAAACTCACTTCCTAGTGCAGCTGAATTTCTCATATATTTTGCTACAGGATCTGCCAGCCTTGGTATGATACTGTTCACTCTCACCCATTGTTTGAGATTGATCTGGCTGTCCTCTGTTACATGCACAGCCTTGCGCGCCGTGATAACCACCAGCATCACCACGCCAAAACTGCAACTCAGCAATCAACAAAAGCGTCATACTTGGCATCATGTTCAAATGTACTAATTTCCTACAGACACACTAGTTGTTTGATTTTTTTTCCCTATCATCCACAAACAATCATAACCCAAGACCCCATCTCAGTTGACCAAGCAAAGGAAACGTAGAAAGCATTGCAAGCCCTAAACACAAACCCTACCCCCCTTTGAAGAAAAGGAAACTCATGAACAATTCTCATCAACCCTGGAAGCGTACCCGAATGGTACTCTCATGCCAATGTGCTCATCTTCCAACCTTCACGATGTTCTCATGCCAATATCCTACCCTGCACGATTCTGCTAGCCTGACCTACTCCGCTCACCAGTGCCAATCTGCTCACCTGTGCACATCTGCTGCTGGAGTGGCCTTGTGAGACTTGAAATAGGCAGGGTCCACATAGCCTGGAGTTCCCATCACTCGAGTGGCAGCCACAGAAGTGCCCATAGCGGTGCCCCCACCAAGCTTCACAAGCCCAAAATCTGCAATCTTGGCCTGCCCATGAACAACAGCAGCACTAATGTGCAAGATGAGGAGCATGCTAGGGGATTCAAAACACCACTTGGTAGGTGCAAATGGATCGATAAGAGTCAGGCTTAGTACTACGTTGACATGCCTGCATTCTTGCATCAAGTAGAATGTTGGCGGGCTTGATGTCGCGATGCACGATGCCAAAGTCATGAAGATACTGCAACCCTTTTGCCGCTCCAATCAGAACGTCAAGCCTTTGACGAAGCGAAAGAGAGTGGGTGACACCAGGACCGATCCAGCTTTCAAGGTCGCTGTTGGGCATGAACTCGTAAATGAGGATCTGCTCCATGAGTCGTGTGGACGGGACAAAGTCAATACAATAGCCCAACAGACGCACGAGATGCGGATGGTGCTTGCTTGCCATCTCTTTCACCTGAGAGAGAAACAGTTGGCGAGGTCAAAGGAGATTGAATTATTGCAGTACCTGTCATGCTTGGAGTTGGCAAAAAAAAAAAAAAAAAAAAAAAAAAAAAACGTGCCACGAACATATCAACAGAAACTCACACCATTCATACCTCTCTCTGGAAGTCGTTGGTGAGCACTCGAGCTCGTTTGACTGCCCAGGATTGATTGCGATCGTGGGGCGACACACCCTTGTAGACATCACCAAAGCTGCCACTTCCTATCCTGTTCCCCTCTGCCCACTCTCCTGTGGCCTTGGCCAGCTCTGTTAGGGAGTACTCTCGACACACGTATGGCCGTGCTGCATCCATCTCCACCACAACAACTTCATCCTGCCTCCTTTGTGCTGCTACTAGTGGTAGCACTGCTGCAGCAGCTGCTGCAGCTGCTTCGGCTTCCCCTTCCGCTGCTGCTGGATTCTCATCCACATCCTCATAGTTTGGTCCTGCAAAGACATGTGAGAGTCGGATGAAGAGAAAGAGAAGGTCAAGTAGCCACTCTGAAAGAAAAGGACCTCGGATCCTGAACAGCCTACTCCGGAAGGACCAGCAGGCACCATGGCGCCATTCGACAAATCCTAGCAAGTCGAGGTTAAGGCTGGACAAATTGTCTGCAAGAAGATGATTCCAGTGACATCCGTGGAGAACAGGCTCACCAACCCTTACACCACCATCTCGTTTCGAATTCATAGCTGTGTGGCTATTCAATGTCATGGCAATAGACCCTGACCCAAAACTGTAGCCTAAATTTTCATCTTCCCCCCTTGAACTGTACCTGCCCAGTTCGACCCAAAACCTACATTTCACTACCCAATTTGACTCGGACCATTTTGCTTCGACCTTGAACCAGTCACGTTTGACTGAAAAGAAATACCAGACAAAATTGCTGATGTGGTTTCCTCATGCCTATTTCACATAGAACTGAAGACAAAAGACCATGTCATCACAGATACTTTCGTGGGGCACCAGCAAGTATGGGACAAAGCGTTGTAAGATCCAGGTCAGCAACTCTGAAATTTCAACCCAAAACGTATGAGTCAGTCCGAACCAAAAGGACTACCTGGCATCTGCAAGAACCTGGGCTGGAATGAGGTGAGAAAGAACCCATGGTTTTGGCTTTGATAGCTGAATGTGTTAGTGATCTTTAGGCTTTGATGATACCCAGTTTTTATTTCGCTAGCTTGCGTTGTGATTTCTTCATCTAGGCTAGGTGTCCGCAGAAATATCTCACCCTGAAAAGAACTAGTATTTGCTGATTTCTTGCCATCCATATCAGTGCCGGTAACGCCACCTCCTGCTGCCCCTTTGGTGTGGCATCGTGTGCACAGCAGCCAGCTCAGCAGCAGCAGTACGAGGACAGCCACAACGCCAGCAACAGCAATGCCAGCAATGGCTCCACTGGATAAACCACCCTCAGACTTGGAGGACGAGGGTGTAGGCTCACTGGGAGTTAACGTGGGAGGAGGTTGAGAGGGGTTTTGCACTGGCGATGGGGAGGGTGTTGGCACTGGCGATGGGGAGGGTGTTGGCACTGGCGACAGGGAGGGTGTTGGCGCTGGTGATGGGGAGGGTTTTGGCACTGGCGATGGGGAGAGTACAATTATGGGGTACAAAGACGAAGATAGGAAAGGGAAAAGTCATCAGTGGATGACGGTGGGCTTGGTGAAAGTGGATGTAGTATTAGGAACATTCCGCATGAGGAGAGGAAACAAAGGAGTGCATTGAAGGGTTGAAACAAGAATTCTTAAGTCTCCACGAGAAGGCATGTAACAGAAGCACATATTGAGTAGCTAAGCTGTGCTTCTTTCTTTGCCTGACACTTGAAAAGCTAGCCAAGTAGGTGGCAATGCACTATTTACCCACTCAGCACTAATGAGGGCAAAGTACAAATGGCAGTACGAACGAAAAACTATGTTGGTGTGGCTTTTGAGAATTCTCAAAAGCCACACCAGCAAAGTAAAACTGGCAGAAAAAAAAAATAGCCACCTGCATAAGGAGTGTCTTACCTGCTGAAGGCTTGTCACACGTGGTGCAGAAGGAGGGACACTGGGTGCAGAAAGCACTTGAATTCGTCTGTGGGACAACGCAGCTGCTGTAGTCAGGAGGGCATGTGATTGCTGTCGAAGATATGTCCCTGCGTGTCCACACAGAGTATTCTCAAACTATGAGTTACAAACACTTTAAGATGGATGCTGGGAGCTGGAGAGGAACTCATCACAATACTCTACCGTGCTAGGATGTCTGAAGGTTGAGAGTATTGCTAAAGCATACCTTGGCTTTGTGCTGACTATTAAGAAAGGCCGGACATGGACCACCCCGGTTCGAGAGCTGTTGGGCCGATAAGGATTTGCCCAGGTCATTCCAAGTGTAGCCCTTGGCACCTTGTTTACTTCCTACTTGTGAATGCAATAAAACTTGACCTACCTTATGTCAGAACTTAGGCTTAGAATCCATACATTACTAATGAGCTCGAAGCTCTTTAAGTACATACAGGGTGATCAAGGAGAAGGATGGGGAGGAAATCGGGGGCAATCTCTAGGGATTGGGGGTAATCCCAAGGCAATCTCCAATTGGTGGGTTGGAGATTGCTTGGAGATTATATTGGGTTTGATTGGGATGTGGGTGTACGCCAACCAAAAACAAAGTGCAACCTACACTACACTAGAACATAAAAGTGCAAGTACAAAATGTGAGATAGAGGGCTAACACTAACACCCCCCCATAGACGTCAATCGAACTCAAGGCAAAGAAGGCGGGGCACATAGCCCCATGGCGCCAAGAAAACGATGGTGAGGAACCTTTCCAAGGGGCTTGGTGAACATATTAGCCAAGTTGCAGTCAGATGCAATGTACTCCACGTTCAACTGTTCACGTTGGACGAGGTCGCGGATGAAGAAGTGGCGAAGTTCGATGTACTTGGTGCGGGTGTGGTACACAGGATCCTGGGAGAGGTGGATGATACTCTTGCTGTCACACCAGAAGGTGGGGGTTGGCTGAGGGTAGCCAAGCTCTTGGAGGAGGAAGGAGAGCCAACGGGCCTCTTGTGCCGCCATGGTGCCAACGTAAAACTCTGCCTCGCAGGAGAGGGAAACTGCCGACGACCTAGTGGAGCGCCAGCTAACAAGTCCACTACCAAGGTTGAAGCGGTAGCCCTGAGAGGAGCGTCAGTCGGTCGGGTCATCAGCCCAAGAGGAGTCAGTGTAGCCTTCAAGTCGAGAAGGAGAGAGCCCTCCAAGTGTGAGTACATGAGACTTCGTGCTCTGCAGATAGCGCAGCACCCGCTTCGCCGCCTTCCAGTGGAGATCGGTGAAGCGCCCAGGAGCCACGTGGCGAGAGAGGACATTGACAGGGTATGCCAGGTCAGGCCGTGTGCACATCATGGCGTACATGAGGGACCCAACAAGCTCTGGGTATGGCTCGGAGCAGGCCTTCGGTATGGGAATAGCTGGAGCTGTGAGTAGGTGCTGTAGTGGAAGTGGGGTGGCCGTGGGTGGGTGTGCACGACTCCATCTCAAACCGCTTGAGGACATTGTCGATGTAGAACTCCTGGGAGAGTGAGATGGTGTCAGCCTGGCGATCACGAGTGATCACCATCCCCAGGTAGTGCTTGAGATCACATCAGGATGGCCTTGCTCAGGGCCGCCTGAACAGAGGTCATCTGGGCCGAGTCCTTGGCAACGATGATAAAGTCATCCACGTAGACAAGGATGAAGAAAGGTCCAGAGTGACGACGAATGAAGAGAGTCAGGAGAGTAGATGAAGGGTGAAAGTCCAATGAGAGGAGGATCTCCTTCACCTTGTTGTGCCATTCCCGGGGGGCCTGCTTGAGGTCGTAAACGGGTCGATTCAGCTTCCAGACTGTGTTGGGAGGGAACTCTCCAAGAAATTCTTCAGGTCGATCTATGAACACAGTCTCCTTAGGGTGTCCCTGGAGGAATGCCGAAAAGGCATCCATGGATTTGATCTCAAAGTCTTCTAGTGCAGCCACATCCAAGAGCGTGCGAATCGTATGAGGTTTGGATGTGGGAGAGAAGGTCTTTAAGAAGTCCAGGTACTGCTGCTAGATGAATCCCTTGCCCGCATAGCACGCTTTAAACACTGGGGCCTCGTCCAGAAGCTGTTTCACTCAAAACAGCCACTTGCCTCCAACGATGTTAACTCTTGGAGGTGGAGTCTCATCGTCGAAAGAGTGGTTGCGAGTGAAGGCTTCCGCCTCAGCTTCCATGGCAGCGCGCCACTCGGCAGCATGGGGGCCCGAGAGAGCCTTTTTGACGGTGAGAGGGACAGGGATTGTTGGGTTCTCCGAGAAGTTGAGCGAGGGTGATTCGGTGATATCGGAGAAGATGTGCGAGAGCTGGGGAATGACAGCGTGAAGATCACACAGCTCCTCATGCCTGTCTTCCAGAACGGTAGAAGGCACATCCCCCCCAGCAGGAGGAGCCGAGGTGATCATGGAGCACCGAATGATAGGTGCGAGTGGAAGAGCAGGCCCATGAGATCGAGTGCCATGAGCCACCGGAGAAGAGGGTGGAGCGGGTGGTGCTGTAGGGGTTGGTTTAGGGGGCTTGGGCGGAGGAATCGATTGCCGCTGGTACGTGATCGGCGCACTTGGTGGTGGGGAAGCAAGTTCCTGAGCGGAAGAGGGAATGTCAGGAGGAGGCGGCGCCAGAGGGTTCGACCGCCGATGGTATGTGATTGGTGTGCTTGATGGTGGGAGAGCAGCAGGCAGAGCAGGAGAGGGCGGAGATGGAGGAGCAGCTGCCGAGGACACTGGTGAGGTTGGGTTAGAGACCTCACAGGGGGATGGTGCAATGGCTGGAGTAGGAGGTCTAGGCGGAAGTCCAGGAGGCGCATTAAAGTCAGCCCACACATAAGAGGGTGGTTCGGAGGGAGAACCCCCCCTCTGAGGCAGAGCAGAAGGGGCGTGTCTCATCAAAGACAACGTTGCGGCTCTGGACTAACTGTTGAATGGAGGGATTGAGAAAGAGGTAGTCAGGGGAGTCAGCGTTGTGCCCAGAGTAGATGCACGTTTGATTCTTGGGGCCGAGTTTGCCGCCTTGCTGCCTCCGAGCCTGAGGGTTGAGGAGGACATAGGCGGTGCACCCCCAGACGCGAAGGGGGCGAGAAGTGGGTGTTTTCTTGAGCCAGAGTGTGGTGGGACTGGTGTCAAGAAGAAAAGGTGGGGGTAAAGGTTGTAGAGGAGGGCAGCGTGGTAGAGAGCGTACCCCCAAAGAGAGTAAGGGTGGTGCATGGGAGTGGCTGAGGAGGCAACGAGCGATCTGCACCATAGTGTGGTGACGACTCTCTACTATGCCGTTCTGCTGCGGGCTATAAGGAAGGGTGAACTTTTGCAGAATGCCGAGAGAAGATTAGAAGGCTTTGAGCTTGTCATTGCAAAATTCACCACCACCATCTGAATGGAGGCGCTTGACGTTACGGCCAAAGGTGGTCTGTGCCTGATTAACCCACGCCATGATGGCCTCTAGAGCCTCAGCCTTAGTGTGAGGAGGTGCACAGAGACATAGCGAGAGTGGTCATCAACTATTGTGAGGAAATAGCGATGGCTGACTCGTGCAGGAACAGGGGCAGGGCCCCAGACGTCCATGTGCACTAGGTCCAGTGGGGCTGTTGCGACTGAGGATGAGGCAGGATGGGGTTGTTCGCACAGCTTGCTCTTGGCGCAGTCAAGGCACGTGGGAGCTGGTGGAGGAAGTGAGGCTGGTGGGCCGAGAAGAAGCTTCTTGGAGGCCATGTCCGCACGTGTGCGGAAGTTTGGGTGCTCGAACGGATGATGGTAAAGGATTGCCGGGTTAGCGAAACTGCGACATGAGCATGGTGTGTCAGCAGCCCGTGTTTGGGTGGTTGACACCTGTGGGATAGGTACACGCAACGTGTAGAGGCCGCTACTGTTGAGGGTGAAGCGAGCTAAGACCTTGTTGGTGAGTGGGTCAATGATCTCACAGTAGTTCTTGTCTGGAGAAAATATGGTGAGGACCCCTGGCTCCTGAAGTTCTTTTTGAACCATTAGGTTGTGGCGTAGTGAAGGCACGCACATGCCAGTGACTGTGCCGAATGGGAAGGAGGGGCACGTGACGGTGGACGAACCCTTGGCAAGAGTGGTGAACCTTGAATCAACTCCCAAGAGAAGAATGGGTGCTGAGTAGGGTTTGAAGAAGAGTGTCTCTTTCAGCACAGTGTGAATGGCCCCGCTGTCGAGTGTGAATTCTATGTATTCAGGTGCCAGTGATGAGCCGATTTACTGCGAAGTTGCTTCCTTAATCATGGCAGTGCCAGGGAACAACACGTTGATGCGCACATCAGCAAGAGCACTATCACTAGCACTAGCCTGAGCCAAGTCTGGTGCCTCAACTAGGTTGGCCTTACGAGGGCGCATCCAGTTTGGCGGCTTCTTATCGACTCCATGGATGACATACCATTCGTCGTCTTTCTTCTTGAAGCACGTAGCAAGGGGGTGGTTAGTGCCACCACACACTTGTCCCTTGCGGTTGTAATACTTGACAACGTAGGTGCATGGAGGGAAGCGGTTGCGCTGAAAGGGTGCCGAGGAGACACTTGCTTGAGGCATGGGAGCACGGAGGGCGTAGGCCTTGGCTTGAGCCGTGGCGTCTTTCTCGGCGGAGAGAAGTGCGGAAGAGACCTTAGCGAAGGTGAGGTCTTCTGTCAAGAGGGTGAGGAGCATTTTCCTAGTCACCTCGTATGCCGAAGTGAGATCGACAAGAAGGGCTGCTGGCGGTGCTTGCTCGGGGAAGACTACACCAAGTTCCTTGAGTTCGCCATGAATGAATTGATCCTTGGAGATGTAGTCCGCCATGCTCGCCGAGTCCTCGAGGCGGACCTGGAACATGCTCCGGATGAGGACGGCAACCCCGACTGCTGTCTTGTTCGAGAAGAGGTCCCGAAGGTGTTTCCATATGGCATTAAAGGTGGGGTAGTTGTGGAATGTGTTGACAAGTTCGGGAAACATGGTGCCGATGAAGACACTGATGATAGCCGCATTGGCCTTCTCCCCTTTTTGGTACCTAACAACAGTTACCTCATACTCCTTGGTTACTACAGCATCGGAGGGGTTTGACGGCTCCTTGGGGATGGGGGGCTATTTTCCCTTGCCGTGGTTGAGGAGGGCGTCTTTGAAGTCCAATCCATGCAGTTCACGGCTCAGGAGGTGCTTGTCAACCCTGTAGCTCCACGCCTTGAAATTGGAGCTAGTCCCGTCGGCTTCAAGGTGGAGCGGGGCAGGGTGATGGGGTTGGCGATGGTGGCCGAGGCTCGAGCGGCGCACAGCGCGGCAATTTCGAAATCCAAGGTCGCGAAGAGCGAAAATTGTCCTTGTCGGCCACTTCGGTTCGGGATGTATCGTAGAAAGGTTCGGGTTAAATCGGGCGATTTTGGTAGTGTCGACTAACTACTAACCCTATTCCCGCACACCCACCCACACACCACCCTCAGCTTCGCGGCTGCGCTGCTGCTCTGCTTCACTGCTACACGGCTGCTCAGCTTCGCGGCTTCACCTGTTCAGCTGCGGGGTGATAGAGGTGCTGTTGCGGGGCGACGGGTGGCAGCCCGAAGATGAAGCTGCAGGGCGACAGGCGGCAGCCCGAAGAGAAGCTGCAGGGCGACGGGCGGCAGCCCGAAGATGACAGTGCAGGGTGACGGGCGGCAGCCCGAAGATGACACTGCAGGGTGACGGGCGGCAGCCCGAAGAGAAGCTGCAGGGCGACGAGCGGCAGCTCGAAAATTGACGAGATGGGAAAATAGGGTTACGCCGAAGCCGGAAGAACAGCGGAACAAGAGCCACGGTGATGTAGGACATGCAACGAGGAAATGGTAGTGACGGTTACCTTAAGCGAAACACTGAAATTGGTGCCTCGTGACTGCAGAAAGGTAGCGCCAGAGAGAATCTGCCCACGGAAGATGTCGCGAATCACCGGCGACGAAGACGGCGCGGGAGAAATTCCGGCCGGGATAACTAGGTCAATGACGATGCTTTACGTCGAGCAATGAATGTTGAAGGCGGCTTCGCCGAAGAGTGCGGGAAAGGATTCCGCAACTGTACGAAGATCAAGGTCCACGTATGGAGTTGACATGCTCTGATACATTGGCATGTCAGAACTTTGGCATAGAATCCATACATTACTAATGAGCTCGAAGCTCTTTAAGTACATCCAGAGTGAGCAAGGAGAAGGATGGGGAGGGAATCGAAGGCAATCTCTAGGGATTGGGGATAATCCCAAGACAAAGTTGGGAACACCCAATCAAACACAAAGAGCAACCTACACTACACTAGGACATAACAGTGCAAGTACAAAATGTGAGATTGAGGGCTAACACTAACATCTTACACCAGTGGAACACCGGGCAAGTACCTTGTACATCTCCACTTTGTGAGACGCGTCAAAGTAAGAATTTTGGTTTGGATGATACAACATGTCAAAACGCAAAGTTGCCTTACAAGGATTCAAGATAAGAAAGGTTGCCCATTGTTGGAGGGAGCTGGCCAGTGAGATTGTTGGAACTGACATTACTACAATGAAAATGACGGTAGAGGTGGAGACACAAAGAACGAATGAAAAGGTGGTAGAAGGTAGCAGACACAAGGAGAGGGAGAAAGAAAATGCATGATGTGTTGACTTAAGACGGTAGAAGAAGCCACACATCCTATCCCACTAAAACGTTGATTGATTGCAGCCACAAATCGAGCCCCATCGGTCTGAAAATGGATTGTGATTGTGAAGGCAGGATTTCCAGCTCCTTCTCGCCTCTTCTCCCTTTGATTTTCATTCCTCCAAATGTGGAATTTTCTATGCCATAGGCAATAGGATGTCCCAGACGAGGCTTCCAGCAGCTCCAAACACCACAGCTGCTTGAACATCTTGCCATGACGCAGGTGGGGGATTGGTTGGAAACAGACCTTGCTAAAAATTGCATAGGGGTTGGATAGATCTCACCTGTTTGGACAATGCTAGCTAACTGCCATTAGTGTGTGGGCCTGGCAAATGGTGACTAGCATGCCTCGCATCTATTGACGGGAAAGTGGCCCCGCCCTTGCGTGCGCGATGCGGACATCGCTGACCAGCGCGCAAGGGGCGTGGCCGGCTTGCATTGGCGGTCGGCCTAGACCTCAATGAAGAAGTCAACGAATTTGGTCGACGACTTCGGCGGGACATCATCGAGGCCGACATTGGTGAAGCCAACTTCGGTCGGCATCGGTGTGCTGTGCTACACTCTCGAACAGTCTGTGTTGGTGTATAAGTTCGCGCGCCTTATACGAAGTGTTAATGGGTTCGAAACGTTTGATTATGCTGCCCAAAACTGCGCCTACGTGCCTTCGCCTTGGACGATTCTATTGTTCGCGTAAGTCCATTCCAATGTCGGGTCTCGTAACAGTGTCATTGCGAGGCGTATGTGCATTGCGTCGTGGGTCGAGGTCGTGCATCCAACGGCTTCGAAGTAAATTTCGAGTATGACTACAAATCGACGGATGTCGCTCCTTTTTGCACTAGGATTGATCGCCTCTGGTAGCCTCAGCTTCGCTGTTTCGAGGTTAACTTTAGCCGCTGCTGTTGTCACAAGTATATTTATCGGTGTTGCCACTGCTGCCGCTGCTGCTGTGGCGGCTGCCGACTGGTTCGTAAGGAGATTTTTGAGTCATATGAGCGCCTCACGTCTACTCCTATTCGGCACGTAACTTCGCGATTTGTTGTACGAAATTATCGCCAATTTCCTCCATCCGACAATTCGTAGGAGAATTTCCACAATATATATACATGTATATATACGCAAATATATATGTGTATATATAATATATATGTACGCTGGTCAAGTGCTGCGGAGCGAAACGATTCTGAAATCGTCTAGCGCTGATGCTGTTCTTGGCACGATTCTCCCTTGCCTATTTTCGCGCGTCCGGTGTTGGCCGTTGAGAAGTAAATCGACCCGACGATTTAAATTCCAACCTTTATGGGCGAATTTTTTTCGTCCGTTGAGATGCGATTCGATCTGACGGTCGAAATTCCAACTTTTTCGCCGGAAAAAACATGAGGTGCGTTCAGCAACCGAACGAAGGGGGAAAAAAAAACGCGGAACTGATTTCGACATACCAGAATTAGCGTGGTTGTCGTCGCCCCCAGGGGTATTAAACAATTGGGATTTAGCAAGCTAAAAGTCAAAGTGTAAGTAAGCTTTGAATACAAAGTGTGAGGATTGATGACTCAGCTCAAAATTAATTATGATCACATGGGTACAACACGAGGCTATATATAAACGAAGTAAGGCAAAGTAACCAGGTGTTATGAGAAGATTTCGAGTATCACGAAGCGTCTGGAACGTGACCTTCCCAAATTCGGTAAAATCAATTCGGCGAAATCACCCGTACGCAAAGTCACGCGAGAATAACCGAAATGAAACAGAATTCGGTGTTTAAACTATAATAACTACAGTAAAGCAATGAATATAGGAAAACTAGCACAAATGATCATAAAAAAGGTGACTAAGCAAGAATGGGTAAGCACGACATTGTACTCTCACAGTCTCGGCCCAGCATTTATTTGCGTTAGGACAAGGGTCAGCTTGCTGCAGGAAGGTCATGTACTATGATAAGACGTGTGAGATGGGTTTTTCCCATGCCATGTCATGTACAGATGAGGCCAGCAACTCCAGTCTCCTTGCTGATGACCTCTGGAAAGCTTGCTGTGAAACCGACGCTGTTGAAAATAGGCTGCACTTTGTGTGCTAGGAAACGTTTTACGATTTACAAAATTTAGGATGTTCAGTTTTTGGTTGTTGGGTGTAGACTTTCTCATCCCCAACCTATCCACCCCCTCGTCCCCCACCTCCTCCTCCATCCAAAATCTCATCCATGTTTGATTGGTTGGTTGGATTGGTTGGATCCTCCTAGGATTCCCTAGGATTTCTTTTCGATTGCACCCCATCTACCCAACCCCTCCTGGTTTGTGCTACTTAAGGTCATGTATCCTACTCTCTAATCAATCAATTCAACTCTTATTCTTACAGACGCATCATGGGCGGCACCCCAAGCTGGCTCTTGGGTCAATGGCCAGGCTCGGCCCAGCGGCCTAGCCCCTTGCTCATGCCTAGCGTGTATGGTCATTCTCAAATCAAGTTGACTTGCTGTCACCATCGGAGACCTTCTTATGTCTGAACCTATGCAGGGTCATAGAGGCTCTCATTCTTCTTCTCTTGATGAAACTCACAAATCAAAGAGGTTGCTCATGTTGCCGATGGTGGATGGAATGGACCCACTCAGACTGTTGCCGTAAAGGATTCTGATGGCACAAAATGCAAAGGATGTTATGGGTGGAAACGATTACTAAATACAGCAAGGAAACCTTACATTTATTTATTGACAAATCACTAAGGCTGCATAGTATATAGTAGCAAATACAGTCAACTCATTGCCACCGAGCACATGTACAGGGTGCCATGGTGCAAAAACTAGAAATGAATAATGAATGACAAACCATTACGAAAATTGATTGTCATAAAAACCACCTACTCTAAAAGGTGCCCGATTATATTGTGAGCACAGCACAAACAAGCTCTTAAACTTTACCATTGGCATTGTAACACAATGATGAAAGAAACAGACAGCCAATGCAAGAACTGAGAGCAAATGCAAACGACGGGCTATTCTGAGCGTTATACAAGCATGCAAACATGTAACATACCAAAGCAACAGATAAGGATCCAGGCTGTATATATATATAAATAAAAACACATTGTGCGCAATGTTAGTGGTGGTGGGAATGCATAGCAGGATACGAAATGAGCTGGAACAGCTGTGCATGCACAGCGTAGTCTTCAATATAATGTCTTCGTCTTCTGCACTTGAAAGATTGATTTTGAAAAGGAAAGTTTGCAAGCCACAGCTTTGGCAAGAAGAATTATATTTTCGTTAAAGGATTAGCCTAGGTTGGACCAATCATGAGGGCATCTTGAGAATAGTTGGACTAGCGACTTGATTTGGGTAAAAAAGAACAAATGGTTGAACAACCCCGACTAGTGGCATGATTTCGAAAATATGCAGCAGTGAGGGTGGCTGCACCCTAGCAGCCTTTGTCCATGTGTGTGTCACAAAGCATGGAACGGACCATCTCAAGTAACATCTGGTTGGCACGTTCAGCAACTCCATTTTGCTCAGGTGTGCATGGGGTGGAGAGATGTCGAGTGATTCTATGAGTATTAAGGAATGAAGTGAAGGCTTGGGAATTGAACTCCAAGGCACCGTCGGAGCAAAACGCTATGATGGTTCTTGGAGAAGGACGATATGTACACGAGTGATGTAAGTTTTGAAGCATGAAAAGACCTCTGAACGATGGCGTAGGAGATACACTGTAATGTGGCAGGAGTAGTTGTCGATGAAGGTGAGAAGGTATCGAGCGCCTCCCATGGCAGTTCCATATGAGAACGGTCTAGCAATATCCGAATGGATGAGTTGGGGTGGTGCTGTGGTGCGAGGATGGGACACGCCAAACGGTTGACGCGTTTGTTTCCCAGGATAGCACGAAATGTATTGGGGAATCGAGGTGGAGGAGAGGTTAAGACCGGTGACCAGCTGCTGCCGATGAAGTGTGCACAGATCCCACATGTTGAGATGTCTGAAACGGCGATGCCGAAGGTACGATGAGGTGGTGGTGGAGGCGGAATTTGCCAATAGATTTTTGTGGTAAATCCCTCGCCAATAGGAGCTTCATCAGCTTTGAGCTCAACCCGTCCAGCAGCGGGGAAGGAAACAACAATGCTGGTGAAGGGAGAAACAGAACGTGTCCAGCTGGATGGTGGTGTCTGAGGTTTGTGAACGAAGGGTAGCCTGAAGACCTTGTAAGTCTCTCCACCACCAAAACGAACAATAATATCATCATTTGGCTTCTGGAGAGACGAAAAAAACGAGGCTATGAATCCAGACGCATACGGAGCGCCGTAGGGGAGGAGGAGGAGGAGGAGGAGGAGGAGGAGGAGGAGGAGGAGGAGGAGGAGGAGGAGGAGGAGGAGGAGGAGGAGGAGGAGGAGGAGGAGGAGGATGGTGAAAAAGAAGACAGCGGCGATAAGAGGAGTTCGTATGGCGAGGATGGAGTGGTGGCTTGTGCTGAAAGCAATGTCAACATAGCGGGAATCAGGTATGGACGGACTGTGGGGCTGATGGGGCAGGGGGTGGTGAGGAGGTTGGATTGAATTCAGCGGCAGAGCTTGTTGACACATGAACCAAAGGCTGGATGATAGATTTCTCCAGTCGTGAGCTTTCTTCGAGCTCTTTTTATTCTTCAACTTGAAGCATTTGTCAATTGTGTGGCCTGTTTTCTTGCAGTAATGGCAAGTAGGGGACTGGTAGGAACCAGAGCAAAGAGGGTGTGAGGACTGGGGTTGGAGGTTGTATGCACCCTCCTTATTGCGGCTTGCACCAGATTGTGACCGCTTCCAATCAGCATCGAGTAGGCGCGACTGGAGGTATTCAACTGTCATGGACTTGGTGTTACACACACTGCAAATAGTTTAGTAAGTGTCTTGAAGGAGTTTGAAAGATTGGGAATGATGGAAAACCCCACCACCCAAGATGGTAACTCGAAGCGGGCAGATTTGAGTTGGTGCGTAAGTCTTTTAAACTCAATCAAAGTAGGAGCGTGGACTTGTTGTTGGGTCCATCCGTGTAGTGACGAGATCTTAGAGGAGAGCCACGTGTGTATGGTTACCCATGCAGTCAAACCGCGCCATGATGTATCCCCACACATCCTTTGTCATGTTAGCTTGAGCAAGTGTGAGCGAGAGCTGAGGATAGATGGCCGACATGAGGAGATGCTCCTCGTTTTCTTCATCCGGCAGCAACGCAATTGAATGGGCTGTTTTAGGAGCTGCACCATTGTTGCCTTTAGTAGCATCTCCCCTGCAGGTTGTGGAAGAGGAAATAGAAGGACGGGCAGCAACCTTGGGATCTCCAAGAAGGGAAATTGGCCCAAGGACATTGAAGATGTAGCAGATCTATTTCTTCCATGGAATGAAATTGGAACCAACCGGTTCTATGATAGGAAGGTTATGCCGACCAAAAGGCATCTCAACTTGAGGTATCAAGTGTGCGGCGTTCACTAAGCTAGAAGCCTAGCTTATGTAGCATGTAGAAAATTGATCGGGGAAATTTAAGACACAATAGGAAGAAGAAAATGTCCTTAGCAAAAAGATGGTACAAGTCTTATAGACTAGAGCAAGTTCCTTGTCCAAGGATGAGTTCTAGTGAGGTAGGGAGCCATATCGATATGGCCGAACTCTTGAAGCTGGCTGCAGCACCTCAAGCTGAGGGCAAGGTAAGCCAACCTTGCCAAGCTAGCAAGTGAGGTCTCATGTTGCACATGTGATCCAGGCTGGAGCAACAGCCCACATGGCAGCATATGGCACACCATTGGGGCCAGCATGGTGAGCATGGGATGAGTGGATAGGTGGCAATGCTAACTGTGACCACACTTCACTATGGTGAGTGTGTTAGAGTATGGACATGTCATGTTGAGCATAATGAGAAGGGAAAGTGCAGCTACTAAGAGTTGAACCCACGACCTCTAAGACCAAAGATGAGAAACTACCCACTAGGACATACTTGCTGTACAACAGAACCGGCCTACCACAAGCTGCCCCCCAGGCCCTGGGTTAGTGGCCTAGCTCGGCCTAGCACCAGCCCGTGGTCATGTCTAGCATGTATGCTCGTTCTTAGATCAAGTTGACTTGGTGTCGCCATCTCAAGCCCTCTAATTTCTGAACATGTACGAGGTCATGTTGGCTTTCTTTCTCAATCCCTTGCTCATACTCACAATGCAAAGAGGCTGCTCATGTCGTTGATGGTGGATGGAATTGAACCACTCAGAGAATTGTTCAAAAGAACCCTGATGATACAACAACATTGAAAACAGCAAGAAAATATTACTATATATTATGGACACTATGGACACATGAGTCTAGGGATGAGCATCCCGCCCCGGCGGGTCAGGTCTACCCGACCCGACCTGGGATTCAACATGGGTCGGGTCAGAAGTTTTGGAGCGCTGACCTGGCTGGGTCGGGTAGGGTTTACCCGGCGAGTCAAGCCGACCCGGTACCCGATGTCAGGTCGGGTCGGATCGGGTCCAATTTTTACCCGACATTGCACCCCACCCAATTTCAGGTACCGCGCTACGTCGGGCCGAGTATCTGGCCCGAACCGACTTTCCCTCTCTCGACAAACAAATCTAAACCAGATCGCGAAGTCAATGTCTAGGGTTTGTTTTTTCCCTCGACATTGACTTCGATCTGGAATACTTAGGCAGCTAGCAATGAAGTATTCTCAATCTTAACTACCCTCTAGACCCGCGTACCAGCTAAGAAATTGTTTAGTTTAGGGGTGTGTGTATTTATGATGGCGTAAAAGAGGTTCAAACCTAACGCGACCTGGCGTAGCGTTCGTTTTTATAGCATTTTTGCCTCTTCGCTCTCACTAGTGAGTTAACGCGGGCCCCGCGTTTTAATCGCCATCCTACGCGCCTGCTAGGTGCACATCGATAAGGACGCGACCCCGCAATTGCCTAGGGCTGCGCCATTCGAGAAGGTCGCGACTCCACTTTAAGAAAACTTACGCGACCCCGCTTTAACGTCAATGGAGGCGGGGGAAAGAGAGTTCACGCGAAATTCCTGGGGCTTCGCTTGGAGGCCTCCCGACACCGGCCTCCAGGGCCACATTTCGCTTGGGGAGCGTCTTCAATGGTCAGGAGATTGGGTGGGACGAGGATATTGCGGCGAGGCGGCATGAGGAGTTGCAGGAATGGGGGTCTCAAGGTCCTGCACCAGTGACGGAGGAGCAAGGTACACGGGGAAAGGAGAAGGACCCGGATTGGAGGCCGGCGCCAGGAGAGGTGGACGGCACGAGTGGAGGATCGAGTGATGAGGGTCGGGGAGGGAGAGGAGGGGGCCAGGCTGGTGGCAGTGGCGTGTGCGGCAGCGGTGCAGCAACAAAGAGGCTACGTGCGAGTGGGCCTGTGGGGTCGGGAGCAGGAGGGGCCGGGCACTGCATTTCATATGCCTTCCCGATGCGGCGATGCCTCATTGTAACGCGTGTGTATTTGCATATACAATTCAAGTCATTTGTCCAGATGCTGAACCCAGGAGCTGCGCTACTGCTCGACTCTCGCCATCGCTTGGCACGCGACATGAAGGCATACGGAGAGGCTGCAAGGGAGGACTTGCGGCAGCTATTGGTGGGTGATGGCTTGGCGGGAAGGATGTCCCTTACCTTTGACATCTGGACTGGTGAGAATGGCCTGGTTGTCATGGGGGTGACCGCCCACTGGATCACCGGCGACTTCCAGCTGAAACAGGCTGTCATCGACTTCAGGGAGCTCAAGGGCTCTCATACAAGGGACTTGATAGCCGATGAGCTGGAGGAGGTGTTGAAGGAGTGGGGCTTGGAGAAGATGCTGTTCGCGGTGACTTGTGACAACGCCGAAAACAACAGCAGGCGATGCGTCTGCTGGCCGGTGTACCTGACCGCACGCCGGGCTCACGGCCCAGGCACCCTCCACTGCTCAGTCGCTGGAGGCACTTCAGGTACTATGGGGCTGTCTCAGGCGCACCTTCCAGAGTACCAGGCACTTAGCACCACGGCACAGGGCGATGGTGGGGAGGTGACTAGTGCGAGGGGTGCAGGGGTGCATGCGTCGGCAGGGGACGGGGCTGTGGCTGCATCGGCAAAGCTCAGCTTCCAGTCTCAGCTGTTCGCGGAGTGGGACACCATGGAGGCCGAGGAGGGGGAAGATGCACAGGATGAGGTGGATTGGTACCTCTCTGAGGGGAGGCAGAGGGGTGGAAGCGCATCGGAGTACTGGCGCAGGAGGGAGACGCTGAAGGGTCTGAGGGCGATGGCTCGCGATTACCTGGGGATACCAGCTATCTCAGCAACGAGTGAGCGCGCATTCTCACAAGGCATGAACATCATTACTTGGCAGCGACAACCACCCTGGGAACCTCAAGGGAACCTCAACGGCAAATGCTACCCTGGGAGTGGAAGATGAGGCCAGGGGATTGTGATCTTTGCTCATGATTGATGATTTTGCAATAGACTCTTTCATACCTCAAACTACAAGGTGACTCTTCTAGCTTTTATGCCTATTAGCCTTTTGCTAAACATGTGTAGCACTGTAAGCAACATTGAGTAGTTTATCTGCACAGTGGAGGATGTTGCATAAGATAATATCACACATACTTTCAATCAATCCAACACTGCACACTATTTAAGAGAACCTCTAACCCTGCCTATGGGAGTCGGCTCGACCCGACCCGACCCGACCCGGGGGCGGGTCAAGCCTGACCCGGCACCCGATACCTGGTCGGGCCAGAGATCTTTGATGTTCCGACCCGACCCGACCCAACCTGACCCGACCCGGAACCCGGCTGGCTCGCCCAAGTCGGGTCGGGTCGGGTCGGGTCGGGCCTTTTGATCATACCTACGAGTTTGGCTGCATATAAGGGTAGTGACGAGTGCGATCAAATTATTGGTACAGAGCGCATGAAAAGGGGCCATGAAACTGATACAAAAAAAATAGCACTGAACTCAACTGTAGGAGAGGGATGAGTGAATACGACATGCTGATATTTGTTTCGTGGTACAAGCTACCTACTCTAAAAGGTGCTTGATTTTGAGCACAACAGCATCAACTTTATTATGCATTGCTGCGACCACTACAACTATAGGAACCAAATGAAAGCAACTGTGGCATTCTGGGTGTTAAACGAGCATGGAAATGTGTAGACAGCGCATAGTGCTACTGGTGGTGGAAATGCACAGCAGGATACAATAACGAGCTGAAACAGATGTGCCTGCACAGTGTTTAGCACACCACAGTGAAAATGGGCGGGTCCAGTGTGACTTGTCAACGGTCGGGTCGACCCGTCCAGACCGACATATGAATATACGGTTGTGGGTCGATCCATTTCGACAGGTCGGCATGTCTTGACAATCCGACCCGACCTGACGGGGCCTTATGCCCCATGTCCACCATAATATAAAGTCTTCACCATCTGCACTTGAACAAGTTGATCTTGAGATTGAAATCTTGTAAGCCACCAGCTTTTTGCAAAAAATTATAAAAACCTCAAGGAGTCTTCCATGACCCACAAGCCCAGTCAGCTGCTGAACCAGCTCGTCGCAACTTGAAACAAACAGTCTTGTATTGACCCTATGCTTGTCCGTACTCTTCATTTCTTTGGGTCTTTCATGCCTCCCTGTGGACATTTCCCATGGTGGCAGATGCTGATTGGACAATCTTGGACCACTCGTCATGTGGTTTTCTTCATATAGTAGCAGACCAAGTTCGGCCCAACTCAAATGGACAGACCACGGCTATCAAAGTGAGAATACCACCCAGCCCCAACCCTCCTGATATCACGTCTGGCCATGGAGGCATAAGTCAAACCGGCAAAGGTTTTGCATTTGCTCTTGCTAAAATAAAAAGGCAATCCGGTCCCCATACATACTATCAATGGTATCACACGTAAGGATTGTGTTGGAATGAGACATAAGCAAAGACCAAGCAAGGGCCAGCCTGGGTGCATTAGGTCAGAACTAAGGCCGGCTTTCTTACCTGTATTGAGTAGCAATTCGGGCATCAAACTAATGATGGTGTCTGCCATGTCACGGCCCAAACTAAGTGTGTTTATAGCCTTGTCCATACGGATTTAGCAAGCAATATGCTCTTTTGTCACAGATTGGGTTGGGAGTTCCCAACTTCACACAGATCACCATGTGATGGACCTTCAATAGGCTTGATGCAAAGCTGACCATTACTGCTGATGGGTCTCGATGGCCCGACTCCAGCTGGCCCGGCGCTCATTGCCTAATGTGCGTTCTCAGAAACAAACAAAAAAACCAGTTCAAATTGTAGTCGAAGGAATGAATCAGATCAGAGCCATCCAACCCAATCTGCTCAAATCACATTTCCTTGATACTGACAGTATGCTAAGGCTGCTCATTTTGCCGATGGTGGATGGAATAGACCCAGTCAAATCGTTGTCGGATATATGCCTGATGGTGCATGCATGTGGAGAGTTCCATCCACGTGAAGAGAGAGATGAAAGTACTATGACACGTCAGCATATAGCCATGACGTATTATGAAAATGCCATGACACGTCAGCATATACTCACGATGCCTTACACACACTCAGTTTGGCAGTTATGGGTGGCTGCAAAAGTGGAAGATGCCACAACAAGATGTGAATGTGATCGTACGACGAGGTACCTAACCTAGTAGGTACCTCCAAGTGTTAGCACGAACAGGGTCTATACATTTTAACACTAAAAAACAAATTTTTGTAAAGGGGCAACAAGATTTATCATAAGATAAGAGGTGTTGGTCTAAAATGCTACACAGGCACACACATACATAGAACCTACAGAAGCAGTGAGGAGTACAGCGTGTGGACTGATGATGACCAGTGGCCAAAGTGGATAACCCCTTATACATATGGTGCTCAAATGGTGAATGATGTGCCGGGGTAGCCAAATGTTTTCATTTTGACACTAGCTAATTAATGGACAGATTGACCAACCCTTTAGACTATTGTCAATGTGCATAAAAATGGACGTCTGGAGGCCCAGTTCGAGGGCTTCAAAACCTATGGCTTCTTTCTTATCCGCTACAGACGGAACCACTGGTAATTAGGAACACATTTAGCTTGGAATGGGCAGGCGGAATTGAAATAACAACAGCTATGGCAAGAGGGATCACAAGATCCTTCTCACGTTCACGGTTCAGAAGGGCGTGACAGAGTTGCTTGGTTCTGAAAGGAATATGTGTAGTAAAAAAAAATTACTGGGGTTGGTTTGAAATTGTTTATGCTCACAACTTCTCCGGTGCAAGTGTTAATTAGCTGGCATCTGGGAGGGTGTTTGAGCAGATTGATAGTGAGAAGGAAAGGTTGGCAAGAAGATGTCGTTTAAGGGATGGCTTAAGAATAGCTTCTGCTTTCATCATCCTCTTCATGTACAGAAGATTCAGAATCTCCCTTGCCCATGTATCTTGCTGCCTGGACATTTCAGGACCATATAATGAGGCTAATGTGGACAAATTAGCAGCAAATCCTGCTCACCACTGTAAGTGGCAAGATGGACCGTCTCAAAAAGGGTGATAGGTCGCTGTGGGCACATAGGAGGAATGATTGCATTCTCTCTCCGCCAGTTGAGGGGCACCTTACATCCCTAGTGGATCTTGTGTGCACATACTCCCTCCTCTTCTCATGCATAACTTCATGTGTCTATAATTTCAAAACTTGATAGTGGGCCTCTAATGCTCCCACTACAGATTTGCACACCCTTCTGCTCACTGATGCCACCTCCCTTGGTCCCAGACGCACTCTTCCCTCCGGGGGTGAATGTTACCATCTCCACATTGCCCTCAGCTGCCGCCACTAGTGCCATACCAGGCTCCATTATTGGTGGACCAGCAGGCTGTGCTGCAGCAGAGAAGATGGAGCTCGCTTGAGGCCATCGCGAGCCAGCACGAGTCAGGGAAGCTTCTTTGTGAGCTCCCTCATGCTTGTGGAGCACGCAAACATGGGTTCGGTGTGGGGGCTTGCTGCTGGCGTCCCAAGGAGGTGTTTCTGCTACATTTACATCATACTTGGGGGGCTGGCCGCGAGTTTGCTGGATGGCTGGAGGTATCCCTGGTGGAGCACACACACGAATGACAAAGTTGGGTCTTCCGACCTGGCATGTGCGCTGGAAGTGGTTAAACCCTTGAAGCTGGTAAATAACATTGTATCCGAATAAGAGCACACATGATCTGCATCCGGACCGGAGTGGATATTTGGCCCAAAGAGGACCCAAGAAGATCGTGCTCTTATTTTTTGTGACCCAAGTATGCATATCAACGCTTCCATATCCACGATCCTGCTGGTTATGAAGTGGACAGCAAGGGTCTTGCACACAGAATGGTCTAAATGATCAAACAGGGTCTTGATCACCAGCAAGCTAATAACTAACATAGTGGTCGAAATGGGCTGACTCACACTGGAAGGAAGGATCAAGGCCCGTCACGAACCTTGTTCCTGCTACACAGGGACCCATGACTCTGCGGATTGGCAAATTTATGACCCAAGCTGATGACCCTCTTTCTTAATCACAACCATGGGCCCAAGACAGTGATAGACTCAAGCCACCTTTCTCGCTCTGCCGGCTGGAGTCGAGTCTTGAGAGGAACACAGCTGGCTTAACGAGCCAAGACCTGGCTTGTTGAACTTGCGTCGACAAGCGTGCAGTCGACTCATGGAAAGTGGTAAATTTGTGCGGATCACAGATTGTGACTAGCCGTACCTGTTCGTATGACAGGCGAGCCATAGGCCCAATCAGCTGCCCACTCGGCACATGTGCCAGTCAGCTCATTGTGCAGTGTCCACTAAAACTACCATGATTTTACATATTACATTTATTTCATTACGAAGGGTGAATTAGAGATGAGCACAACGCCAGCCAGGAGTGAATGAGTGTAATGGACATGGTCATACGACTGAACTAGGTCCAGCATGGTCCGGCCAGCCCAATTGCAGCACAGGCCAATCTGAACTTCTTGCATGTCCAGCCTGTCAACCTCACTCCAGCATTTAATAGCAACTAAAGCATGAACAGCTCGCTTTGTGAAGATTAGTGGGCGACCCCAGCCCCTCTCCTTGCTGCAGACCTCGGGCAGGCTTGGTGTGAAACCGACCCATCAGGCTGCCCCCCAGGCCGGCCCCCTGGGTCAGAAGCCTGGGCCAGCCCAGTGCCAGCCCGTGCTCAAATCCTAGCATGTATGCTCATTCTCAAAACAAGTTGCTTAAAATTACACCATCAGAGCCCCCCTTATGTATGAACTTGTGAGAGGTCATGTTGGCTCTCATTCTGGATTCCTTGCCAATACTCACAATACAGTGAGGCTGCTCATTTTGCTAATGGTGGACGGAATCGACCCACTCAGAGCGTTATCGGAGAGACGCCTGATTGCAGAACACGCCAAGGGTGTTATGGGTGGAAATAAATACGGAATACAACAAGAATACATAACCAGTATGAGCAGATATGAAGCACATGCGAAGGGTGCCATGAAACTAGGCATGGACATAGTACCCGGCCAGGTCAAGAATACCTGAACCGACCTGACTTTAGGCCAGGACAGGAGTGCAAAGTAGCTGGTCCTACCAACCCGGCCGGGCCAGGTCAATCCAAAACGTCGTTTCCCACAGCAGGGCGCACACCGCCTCGCTAATCTGCCAGCCATGTATGTTTTTCACCAGATCCACATGGAGCAAACCAGCAGATTGTCATCTTTGTGCGGATAAGTGGGCAACCCCAGCCTCTCCTTCTTGCAGACCTCTGGCAGGCTTGTTGTGAAACCGACCCATCACAGGCCGGCCCCCAGGCTGGCCCCTATGTGTGTCATTGACATGGATCAGCCTAGCGCGAGCCCTTTGTCATGCCTAGACTAGAGTGTATGCTCACTCTCAAATCAAGTTGGCTTAATGTCACTATAGCAAGTCCTCTCATTTTCTGAACCTTGGCGACGTCATGAAGGCTTTTAGACTTATTCCCTTGATGATACTCACAACTCAATGAGGTTGCTCAAGTTTGTGATAGTGGATGGAATAGACCCATTCAGAGCATTGTTGTTAAGATTTCTGATAGTAAAGAAAGCAAAGTATGTTATGGGTGGAAATAAATGAACACAACTTGCGCAATTCTGAGCCTCATGGCAAACGTGCAAACGTGTACACATTCAGAAGCAAGAGAAAAGGATATAGAGTACACAATGTTACTGGTGATGGAAAGGCACGGCAGGTTACAACAGTGACCTGAAACAGCTGTGCATGCACAGTGCTTTGAACAGCGTACTCCATAACATAATGTCTTCACTGTCTGCATCTGAACAAATTGATCTTGCGAAGAAAAGTGTGTAGGTTAGCAGCGTTGGCAAGAAGATTTTTTTTTTTTTTTTTTAGCTCATGGATGGCTCAAATTTGACCAACGATGATGGCAGCTTGAGAATGGCTGGAGTGATGGATTTATTTGGGTATGATCGAACTGATGGCAGCCTGTATATCGTGGCCTTGGGTCTTTGCCCTTCGCTACTCGCTTGATTTCATAGAACTCCACTCTCATTTTCCTGCCCATGTGTGGAACAGCCGTTTTTTTTTTTTGTTTTCTCGACCCTATCATGAGGCTAATGAGCAGAGGTAGGTGGCAGATCCCAGTTAGAAGTAAGTCCTCTGTTAGCATACTCATCCCAGTAGGTGGCATGAGTATGCAAGAAGTCTCACCATCTACCTCATCTTCTGTGCAAGTCCTCTCTCAGAAGTAGATGGTGAGACTTCTTGCATACTCGTCCCATTTAACTACCCATGGCGGTTTAGGATGCTGTCTTTGTTGTGAATGTCCTGCATATGCGACACAACACACCACCTTGTGTGTGTTTTCTTTTCCCCTCACGCGTAGCTTAAGGGCATGCTCAAGAACGTGGGAGAACTTAGGGACTCCCAAAGAAAGAAAGCGACGCATCATAGACGCAAAAGATGGACTGACCATGCTCGCATTCTAGTGCGTCTTCTCTCCGCTCACACGCATCTCCAGGCCGTGCTCAAGTATGTGGAAAACCTTTAGGGGACTCCCAAAAAGGGAAAGCGAAGATCACTTCAAGGGCACATTGACGCATTAAAGACGCAAATGATGGGCTGCTCATGCTTGGAATTTTGTACCTTTCACTATAACATGACCAAGTGCTGGTTCCCATGCGACTTATGCCATACCGATTCATCAAATGTCAAACGGTGCCCTGTTTTTCACTGGCCAGCCCGCACTGCTTGAACCGTTCTGATACTAGACTGCTTGAATCGTTTTGGTCCTCACTGAGTATGGTATATGCCTGGAAAACCAGGCTGCTTCAATCCCGTAGCCTAGGGTTGAGCACGGTCCGGGCCGGGCTGGGCCCGGATCGGGCCAGGCCGGGACAGTCAAAAATCCGGGCCGGGCCCGGGCCGAATGACCAAGACCCTGGCCCGAGCCTGCCCATTTAGTACTCGGGCCAGGGTGGCCCGACCCGGGCCAAGCAAGGCCCGACCCGGGCCGGGCCCGGCCCGGCCCGGGTGCACATTCGATAGCGTCACACATGATTTTCGAAAACGGAATGCCTTCAATCTTAACCTAATCTAAGCTAAAACGCACTATCTCGTCACCCTTTCTTATAAGCGTTACTTTAAAACGGTTAACTAACACTAACTACTGAGTATAAGTTAGGGAAACGGGCTAGGTGAGATCTAAATACATGGCGAGAAGCTAGGGCTGCGTTAGAGCTTGCGCAAACTGTCGCGCAGCTCAAATTTGACCCCCGCGACATTTGCTGGGGGGTTCAAATCCCCGCGTGATTGAGATTTGACGAAATTGACTCAAATCTCAAATTATGCCAACAAAGAACAACAGAAACCGGATTTCACCGCACTGAATCTAGAATTTCCAACCAAACCATCAATTTCCAACCCAGGTCGACTAGATCTGGCCGCATTTGTTGGCCCGAGATCTAGTCGACACCAAATCAACTCATAGGGTTTACTCGATCAGCACGTTATTAGCTTATAAGTAGAGTTCACTAAGCGCAGGGGAAATAGGCGGGCCAGAACAGCCCGACCCAGGCCGCGTTTCGACCCGGGCTGGCCCGGCCCGGCCCGAAAATGTCGGGCCAATGTCGGGCTACTTACGGCCCGGCGGGCCGGCCCGGCCCGGCCCGCCACGGGCCGAAACCCAAAATCTGAGGCCCGGCCCGTGGCAATTCCGGGCTGGCCCGACGTGGGCCGGGCCCAGCCCGGATTTATGCTCATCCCTACCGTAGCCCGAGACAAACCCCAATGGGGTTACCCCCCTGCTGCCAGACAAGGGCACATGACACCCGAACATGCCCAACACATATTATCCCGCACATTGTCAATTTTGAGCTCAATGACAAGTGTAGGTCCAAGATGACAACTGAGTCAAGCCAAGCCAGCAATCCTGCTCTGCCGGCTGACCCCGAGTTATCAAGCTGGCCAAATGAGCCGAGACCCAGCTTGCCAGCTAGTTAAACGTATTCTTTCACCATCCGGCCACAAGCTGGTATAACCCGGCTAGCCCGGACTCGGCAAGAATATGCTTGATGATTTGGGCTTGTTCCCATATTATGACAAATTATGTTGTTGTCTGGCAGAGAACCATGACTCTTGAGTCTCGTGGGACAAATATGACCCTTGAATTGACATAGTTGGATTTCATTCTTTTATTTCCACCTTTCATTAAAACCACGGGTCCAACATGACAATCGAGTCAAGACAAGCCGGCAATCCGAGTATCAACTGGCTGGAACCAAGTGGATCTCAACGAGCCAAGACCCAGCTTGATGGCTCATTGAACTTGTGCTGGCAACCCTAAACCCTAAATTCTAGAAAAGTTGCCCGTGACACCCTAATTCTAAAAATCAACACGGCTATCACATGCTTCCTACCAAGGGTAGCCCAAGTACGGTTTGAGAAACCACGATATGACCATGATTGTGTGGGAATGAGACATAAGCATAGGGTCAAGTGAAGGCCAAAAAGGTGCACTAGAAAGGAGTATAGCGCCGGAACAAGGCCAACCGTCTTACCTATCAAGTAGCAATTCAGGCATCATACCTTGGCTGGCTTGCTTCAACTTGAGTAACAATTTGAGGTCCAAGATGGGCATGTTTGAGGTCATGTCCACACGAATTCGACAGGCGAGATGCTCATTATCGTGGACCTCATTGGAAGATACCAGTTTCGCACGGAGTAATGGGAAGCCCCTGCCTGACACCATGTGATGTACCTCCCAAAGCCTTGTTATGAAACAAACCCATTACCGCTTTGTTAGCACTTGATGCCCTGGTAGACTGGCCTGGCTCTCCTTGCTCATCCTTAGATCAAACCAAAAACCAGCTTTGACCAGTGGTTGAAGGAATGACTCAGGGCCATCCAAGCCAAAGGTGAAGTTTCAGTGAAGTTTTTTTTTATACTGACAGAAATGTAAGGCTGCTCAACTTGCCGATGGTGGATGGAATAGACCCATTCAATTTGTTATATGATAGATCCCTGATGATACATACACGCAACGGGTTCCATCCAAGAAAAAACAGGGGCAGAGCAGAGAGGGATAGAGTAAGTATTTTGGGGGAGGGAGAAGTGGAAGAGTTTGGAAAAAGCCATGAGAGTTGAACAAGTATTCATGATAGCTCACACATCCAGTCTAATAGGCATTTATGCAAGTAGAAGATGTTACGGGCACATTTGAATGTGACCCAACCAAGGTAAACAAATACAAATGTGCTCAAAACGATGCGCTGGGATAGCCGAATGTTAACATTTCGACAATTAATACTCAATTCAGAACCTGACAACCTTCGAAAATGCATGCACACAAGAATCAGAATTCGAGGGCTTCGCTGTAGAGGTTCACAACCTATGATTTCCCTACACTACGACAATCAAATTGTTGCCAAAAAAAATAATTGTGTGATGTGTTAAATCCATGTCTCAATAACTTAATATCGAGTAGTGTAATTACTTCTTGAGGATTTGACTACCGACATAGCAGTAGATAGGTAGGAATGGATTTTACAGGGATAAGCAGGCAAGATTATGGTTGCAGCTATTCCAAAATGAGATTCCCACTCTTATATTAGTGTTCAGAGGCAAGTTTCCTAGTTCTGAAAGGAACGTGATCAGTAAAAAGTGATATTGGGGATCGCTGGTTACATGTTTATGCTCATGATTTCACTGGTGCGGATCTTGCTCAACTGGTAACTGAGTGGGCTTTCAAACAGATTGACCTTTAGAGGGAAAGTATGCCAGCCAGCAGCTACGGTAGGAATAAAATACTTGACTTTGAAAGACGAGCTTACGATTAAGTTGGGGTTTGACCAATTTTGATGGGCAGTGAAAAAATATCTGGATCCGAGACTTGATTCGGGTATGATGGAAGCTGCCAGCCTGATTTCAGAGGTCCCATGCTCATCGTCCTTCCATGTATAGAATAGAAGATTCAGAAACACCCTCGGCCATGTTACTCGTTGCCTGATTGTTGCAGGGCCATATTTTGAGTCTAATGTGGAGACATCGGCGGCGGAAGACCCTGGTACCCACGAGGTCACCACTGTGAGTGGCGGGCTGGACAAGCGACCACGTGTTGTTTGGGTCAAACCTCTAACTATCCAGATCTCCATCCTCTTCTCACCCAACCAGCTCAGCCTCCTCCAGCGTGATTCGACCTAACCTTGACTCGGGGCATCCTGCCCGCCACTTGCTTCAACCATGCTAGTGCCAGGTCCGCAGGCATTTGGCGGCGCGGCGAAACGCTAATCCATGGAAATTTTGCAACCCGGCAATGGTACCATGATATTGTTACCAGCCGGCCCATGGCAAACGGAAAAAGCTGGACGGCTGCGTGCAGGTAAACGTGCAACGATCGGAGGCAGTTCACGACCTCCGACCGAGGGACCCAGCAACAGGAACACATGATGCTGGAGCTGTGCTGGTAACATATGCCCAGTGGTTTCTCGACTTTTGACCATCTCACTGAGCGCTTGAGGATGGTGGTGAGAAGGGATGGTGAGACTTGTTTGTGGCAGTGGCAAAACAGCAATTCTAGGTGCCTAAGTAACCCGTTCTGAATGATGGATTTACAAGCCATTCATGTATGCAAGCCACACGAGTCTGTGACTCCCCTCGGCTACACTTTATGGCTACGGTGGCCGGTTTTCGAAACTCAATCTTTGTGTGTTTCCTACGGTGAGTTGGACATGAGTGAAGGAAAAGCCACTTTGGAAGGATGTCATGGGAACTGTTCTAGTTCCTGACCATTTTTCATCCTGGTAGATTCATAAGAACCTGGCGGGGCCATCCTTCGGCTCGTGACAGGCTGGCCACTGGCTGGCCATCGTGCAATGATGGTCACCCCGGCCTCATCATGTGTTGGTAACATGTTGGCAACTACTCATGCCTTGCTCATACTCATCTGCCCACATGCCAGCTTACACTCATCAATGCATGCTCCCGCTCAAACTAGATCTACTGTTACTTACAAATAGGCCAGCCTGTCCAAGGCACTGATGGAACCTGGAATGGATCCGGTTGATTGTTGGGACGGTAGAGAGCTGGTGGGGCGTGGAATGGAATGGGTGGGGAAACATTATTTCTCTAGACTAAGAGGAATCAAGAATGAAAGAAATGGAGAGATCGGTGAATCCATGGAGGTGCTTTGGGTACTATGTGAGAAGAAGAGACCCCTGCAGCCCAGCTGCCGTCCACCTGCTCCTACATGCATGGAGATGGCAGCAACCTGTCAGAAGCGTGAAGGTTGGAGTGTTGCTGCACTAACTTCTTTCAGTGTGAGCCACACAAGGGAAATGGGGTCGAAGAAAAGGGAAGGGGACGATAAGATAGGTCAGGCATTGCTACACCTAGTTTAGCCTACACATGTGTATGTTCAGTTTCTATGTCAGCAAACAGATGGTATGACTATGTAATGGCACGAGGGTATACTATAGGGCTGAGCAAATAAACGAACACCTGTTCGGTTCGAGGCGAACCGAACAGGTTTGTTTTTCTGCTTAAAGTGTTCGTGACAAACGTGTTCGAGGTTCGCCCGAACACGCCTTCACAGGCAAACACCGAACACCTTTTTTTGCTAAAAGTGTTCGCCGAACCGAACAGTGTTCGGTTCGGCGAATGGCTGTGTTCGTGCAGGGGCGAACACGAACACGTTCGTGTTCGCCCCTTGCTCACCCCTAGTATACTATTGGGCTTTTGAACTGGGGATGAGCATGGGCTGGACCCGGGCCATCCACACCGGGCCAGGGCGCGCCAGCCATGCTGGTGGGCTTGGGCCGGGCCAGCCCAGATCAGGCCGACCCAGCATGGTTGTCGGCCTGTGGCCTGGTTAAATGTGACGGGCTGAGGGTGGCGTGACCTGGGCCGACTCTGATCCGGGGGGGAGAGAGGGGAGGGGGGGGGGGGGGGGGGGGGGGGGGGTGGCTGACCCATTACAGCCTGCCAGAACATGTGATTTTGCAACTAACTAGCCGCAGATGCTCCAGTTAACGAGAGTCCAGCCAAATGCGGGCACTGGACGTCAAACTCTACCGCCTACTCTGGACGCTTGGCAATGGTTCCACACCTAGATGCATTCTCCCCATTGTATCCCCCCTTCCCCCTACATTAGTTTGGATCCGTCTTGGCCAAAGTGGCGTGTGCGATCTGAGACATGCCTGCCCGGGCCAGAAGAACTGTGTACGGGCCCGATGGGCTGACAGCCCGGAAGAGTTGGTCCGGCCCACTCAAGAGGCGGCCCAGGCTCAGCCCTATTCTGAACCAATGGCACAAACAGTTGAGCACCAAGCCCTGCATGGGAAAGCTGCACATGGAGCAGCCCCTCCAGCTAGACCCCATCAACTGCAAACTTTCCCACACCTCTCATGTACACGAACGCTGCTCCCCTCCCTCCACTCACCCGTATTCTCCACTTATCCCTTGACAAACTAAAATGGAACTCCTTTCACTCACGTATCTGTTGCTGTGCCTTGCCATACCCCTTGGCATGCCAACTAGTGCTCTGATTTATGCATTACCGGATTACTGGTGCTGTGCCTATCCTAATCTCTACCTCTGTAGGATCCCATTTCTTTCCAGTTACTTAGACATAGCACTAATGCAACATGGGAGGTTATTCCAGACTCCGCTGGAATATGTTCATTTGCCCGATGGTACTTAATCCTGTTTGTTTACACTCTAATCAAAGCTAACATGGTAATTGACCTCAATATGCCTTCAAAAACAGTAGGGACCATCCTAAGGGATTCATCAAAGCATTCTGTCAGTTTGGACAAGTGTCAACAGTGGCTCTTGAAGAAAGGGAGTGCAAGAAAAACACAAATAACCACGCAGAGGCATGAAGGGATTGCATGTACCGCAAGGGGTCACTTGTTGAAATGCACCAAAATTTTGCAAATACAGAGCACGCAAAATGGTGGGTGAGAAGAAAAACAGAGGCACCCGAGTCAAGGCCAGCAAGAGTTGGTGCACACATGGTGGACGCAAGACCAGCTAGAGTTGGTGCTCTCACATGTAGGTCACCATGCCTTGGGCATCGCAGTACACAGCATAGGCCAAGCTGCAGTTCCCCCCAGCCTCCCACCCAGGGAAATTCCGCCCCCATGCTTGCTGCAAGTCCAGCAGGGCTTGAGCTGGCGGAAAATGGTGGGGGGAGGTGGGCAGGAGGCAAAAGAAGGATAGAAGGAGTGGTGGGACAGGGAACAGAGGAAGGAAAGATAGACCTTCACCTAACTGTGTGTCGCATGCGATGGTGAAGTACCCAGAAACCGTGACCTCGAGAATGAAAATGCTACAGTTGTCAACGTTATGCACATGGGAGCATGGGCATGCCGTGGGCTGCACTGGAGTGGCCAACTGAACGGGCAAGCCTGACGAACCTTGGGATGCGGCGAACGGGACGCAGCGGACTGGAGAAACAACTATGAGACGCGCCAGAAAGATGAGTAAGCTGAGCCGAATTATGCGTCCCTTGCCGTCCGTTGCCATAGTGGTGCGGCGAGCATCCAGTAATTTCTATGGCTTTGTGAAGCTGTGCACAACTTGTAACAGTTTTTCAAGTGTCAATGGAAACGCGCGAATATATGTTAACGGTTAAGCAAGAAACTACTGTTCCCGGGAGTGCAGATGACGTCAACTTACATGAGGAATCTAAGGAGAGGAAGCTTAGTAAGATTAGGAAATCGAACTAGAGGAAAAGGGTGGTGGGGAGGTGGGGGTGGGAGTTTGAGGAGAGGGATAGAGTCCCAGTTTCCTGCCAAGATCGCTTCACAATTTCCTGCGTGGCTGCGATTGGCCAACCTTGTCGCAGCCACGTAGAGGTAGTCGATCGCTGAACATCGCTGACGACGTCGAGTTCGCGAGTTGCGATCTCCCATTCAGCCACGCACTGTGGATCTCGACACATGCGAAAGTATCGTTGAGTTACCCTCCCTCGCGAACACCAAGGTGACAGGAGTCCCGATGGCGTGGCATGCCAGCAGGGCGTGTCGAGTTGCCAGAAATCCCACCTGGTCTGCGAGTCAGACGAATCAGGACAGCGGCTGACCCTGTTTGACAAACACCAACCTCTTCATTCGCTCTCGCAATAACAGAACGAAACGAAACCCTAATTGAATGATACAGTGGAATGAAACGAAACCCTAATTAAACGAACGAAACGAAACGAAACCCTAAATATTGCTGCCAGCATACGAGGAGCAACTAATATATTTGAAATCGCGAAGTTTAGCACTAGCGGCTAGCGCCCTCGCGACCTGGCGACCTGGCGCCCTGGCGACATAGCGAACTAGCTGCTCAGCCCGCGGCCTACCTTATCGCGATCTATATCTGTCGAGTGGTCTAGTGAGAAGGTAGTTGGCGGTCCAGAGTTTCATCGTGCGAATTGGCGTTGACTATAAAATACCACGGCAAGATGGCAGTAACGCGTGATGCTCGTCATCTAATCCATAGTAGCTGGGATGTGATGTCAGTACGTGGTCTAACATCCGAGTTAAGAAGAGGGCATCACCCTCAAACTTCCTCCCACGCCCTATGCTTCTTCTCCTCCTCACCATGCACAATCCCCCCTCTGTGCAACTACGCCGCCGCCGTCGCAAGACGGACAAATGCGCAATTTGCACGGCGCATCAGAAAAAAAAAACGGCGGATACGCTTTTCTCGCCCTCCCGCCCGCAGCTTCTGCCAATTTCTTGCTTCCCCCAGCGAAAGGGCCTCTAATAATGGTCATGATTCCGTCCTCGGCTCTTCTTTTGTGAGAACAGCTAAAATTTCGAAGGATAGCCTCAAAAGGAATGCCTTGCAGCAGCACGCCATGCAGCACTGGTTTGGAGCATCTGGACTCCACATGGCAGCAGCGGCAGGGGCTTCAGCAGCAGGCTTTCGGCAGTGGCCGCAACGATAGAAGTGGCATTTGCAGCAGAGGCAGCGATGATGACAGCCTGTTGCTACCCGGGTTTAAACACACCGTGGCTGGCGTCCGCGAAAGGCGGCGTCGGCAAGTCCACCACTGCCCGTGTGCGTCACCTCCTCCCCTTCTCTGCATGCCCACGGGCTTCCACACACGCCTTGCTCACCTCTGCCTCCTTCAGGTCAAGCACCAGTCGTCCCATCCCTTTCACCCCGCTCCTCTTCTAGATTGCCTCTTACCCCATTCACCTTGCCCCGTCCCTTCTCCTGAATTCGTTCGAACCCGTATCCGTCACCCCATGCCTCTCACATACCCGTTTTCCCCCCTGCATCACTCCCTCCCCCCATTCCTCCTGTCCCCTCCCCCATCCCCCGTCCCTCCTCCCCCCATTCCCCAATCCCCCCCGGTGAAGTGAACCTCGCAGTGTCCATCGCCGCCACATGCGTCTGCAGGTGGGGCTGCTAAACGCCGTCGTGGTCGGCCCCTCACTGCCCAACCTGCTCGCCCTGCACATCGCCGGCCGCCCCCTGCTCCTGGACTGGACCTAGAGACTGCCGGCCGCCCCCTGCTCGCCTCACCCTCCCCTCAGGCGCGCACGCTGCTACTGCAGGCGCACGGCGCTCTCTGCATGTCCTTGGGAGGAGAAGCTTGTAAGGGGGACGGAGTGGGGGCGGCTGGTGGACATGCCGCCCGGCACGGGGACCTGTCAGCTTAGCCGGAGCCAGCAGGTCCGGCTATTAGGTGCGTGGTGGACGGGACGGGATGGGATGGGATGGGATGGGATGGGATGGGATGGGATGGGATGGGATGGGATGGGATGGGATGGGGTGGGAATGGGATGGGATGGGGTGGGTCGGAATGAGAAGGGTTGTGATGGGATGGGATGGGATGGGATGGGATGGGATGGGATGGGATGGGATGGGATGGGATGGGATGGGATGGGATGGGATGGGATGGGATGGGTCGGGATGGGTCGGGATGGGATGGGATGGGATGGGATGGGTCGGGATGGGATGGGATGGGTTGGGTTGGGATGGGATGGGATGGCATGGGATGGGATGGGATGGGATGGGATGGGATGGGATGGGATGGGATGGGATGGGATGGGATGGGATGGGATGGGATGGGATGGGATGG